GAAATCTGATGAAAACATACTAAAGAAGCCATCTCAGTCTATCTTCTATTAGCTTTTTGAGAAAGATATTCAAGTTTGTGGGTTGGCTGTGATTACCATATGGTTCAGGTATCTGTATGAATTCTCTTGCATTGTAGAGACAAGATAAATCATGAAAGTACATTTAACCTCTGCACACATCATGGTCAGAAATATTCCACTGGCTCAAGGAAATCATATCCAAAGTAAGTAGAGTAGGAAGCCTACTTGAACCAGAAAAGACCTATATCATACCCTCTCCTCCCAAAGCTCAGGGATTATTATGAAGGAGGGGAAGAAAGATAGTAAGAGCCAGAGGTGGTACATGAACACATGGAAAGTTTTTTTTTTTATGCAACAGGGCAGGTACATATATGAACTCACAGCTGTTGTGACAGCAGGCACAAGACCTGAAAAAAGCTCAGAAAAAAATCTCAACATGGAGACGAGAGGTAAGCACAATGCCCCACCCCTAGCTGAGGAGCTATTGGCATTGATAGCTGCTTAGAGAGAGGCAGTCGGTTTTCTTTATGAGTGTAACCTCTGGTAGGTCCACCGTGCTCTAGTTTATAACCACACATCCAAAAGCATATGGGCAGCACAGATAGAACTTTACGGGTTACAAAAACAGAGAACACAAAGTTGGGTGGGTAGAGAAGGGTGGGGTGGACCTGGAAGGAGTTGCGGGGGGGATAGCATCAAATTGCATTGTATTAAATTCTCAAAGAACTAATACAAATTTTTAATTTAAAAAAATTGAAAAGAGAAATGGTGAGTGATAGACATGTGATATACCAACTAGCTGAAGGCTAAGTTGAGAGCTAGAGTTGCCCAGCTCTGAATTTTACCACCTCTTCACTGCCGTGCTTCTTCAGAAAATGAGCATAGATGGATGCGACTGGCTGGAACAGGTCACACAGCAGGCAGCATAGACTGAATAACCCCTCAGTACACACAGGTGTGGCACACACAGGCAGGGGCAGCCATGGCTTGGTCATTTTCAAGGTCAGCACTAGAGCTGCAGGTGGTTAGAGCGTGGTTGCTCAGTGTTGAGTCCTGTGTGGGACTTGGTTGTAATGCTCTGGTCAGGACCTCTACAGAGGTACCAGATGTTACTTTTTGATCATTCCCAAAATATTCACTATCCGGCCCTTGCTAGATTTGGGCTCCTCTTTTTACTTCTCTCCTCACTGTGAATTGGTTTACTCCTTTTGTATTGTGAGTCCCATCTAATCTCTCTCCCCTGTCCTATCCCTGCTTCCTGCTGTTCCTTGGTGCTGGTCTGGTCACCTCCACTAATGCAGCCATCACTGAGAGGTAGATACAAGATGTTTGTGACAGAGCAAAGAAGGCATGGTTCAGGGCCAGCATTACATGGTGCTCTGCTGGGGCGGTGGGATGGGCAGGCTCCATAGCTGGGTGCAGGGCGCTGAGCTGACTCCACCAAAGAGTGACTTCCTGGGTGCAGCAACCTCAACATTGGGACCTCAGTGTGGAATTCTGCCTTGGGAATGGAAGGGCAGGGAGGAGCACAGTGATAAAAGTCAGAGTGAAGCAGAACCAGGTTCAAGTCCTGGTTCTGACACTTGCCTATGTGACCTTGGACAAGCTCCACAATTTTCAAAGCTTCAGCCTTCCTACCTGTGAGAGAAAGGGCAATAACAGTCCCACTGTGGTAGTGTAGAATGACCATTAGCATGGTGCCTGGCATGCTGGAGGCAGTTAGTGTTACCTGTTGTCATTGACCCTAGTGTTGGTGATGCTGGGCTCTGTTAGTTCTGGGCTGAGTGGCAGGAAGCCCAGGTGAAAGAGCCCCATGATCAACACAGAGAATGTTACAGTCTTGGGTGGGTGATGGCCCTCCAGCTCTGGGAAACTACCTTTCCACAGCTTCCTAAAGGATCTGGCAAGAGTCCCTGTACCGTATTTAGCCCAAACCAGCTGTCCTGGCCTGCTTATATCCTGGTGGCCCTGGGAGGCTGGAAGCTGGGATTTGTACCAGTGCCTAAATATGGCTTATCATTGTGAGAGCTTTTCTTAAATAAGAGCCATGGAGGAGTCTGAGAATGAGCATGTGGAGAGAGGGTGGGTATCCCAGGACCCCAAGGAGAACTAGGAGCAAACATACAAGTCTGCTGTCGGGCAAAGGGCAGGGGTTCATGCTATGGGCTGTACCACACTTACAATTCTGATATTGTTGGGACTGGTAGGAGTATAGTTCCTGCTAATGTACCCCTTGGGGAGGCTGAGGGAGGAGGCTGATGTGCATAAGAGTCCCTTGTGAGGAGGCAGTTGGGCTTCCCTTTGCTCTTTGATTACAGGCCCCTGCAGCTGCCTGGACTAAAGGAAAAGGGCAGCATGTTTGCACAGGCTGCCTAGGGACTGTACACCAGTGTCCCCATGCTTACTCGTCCCCCAGGACTCCTCTCCTGAACAGTCCCCCTACTGTTTCTATCTGTTCTTTATGCCCCCTCCAGAGCAAGCAGCCAACCTAGGGAGCAAAAGCTACTTGGCATGGGCCCTCCTATTGGAGGACCTCCTTATCCTCTTTTCCCTTAGTTCAGGCAGCTGCACGGACCTGAAATCAAGGAGCAGAGGGAGGCTTATGGTCCTCATAAGGGACCCTTTCAGGTAACTGCATTCACCCCACCCACTTTCCAGAAGGAGGGTTTCCATCCTCATGACTACTCTTCTGGGTCAGGGCACCTCAAATGAAAAAACTTTTCAATACAGTAGCTAATAGCAAGGAGATGGATAGGTCCTTTGTAGCCAGCCTCAGGCCCAAATTTCATGATTTAAAAACAACCCAAAAAGTGCACACCATCTGCTTCACCAGCACCCCCGCCCACTGAGATTTTACCGCAGTCCTGTGGGGAGACTGTGAATACTACCACTTCCCAGCTGGGAGCCCACATCTTAGACGGCTTAAGCCCATGTGCCCAGGGTGGCACAGCAAAACAGTCACAGAAGCAGGAGTCAAGCTAGATGTGGCTCCTGAGGCACACCATCAACCTGAAGCTGGTGTGTACATTGTGTCAATTGGGAGCTGCCCCCAAAGCCACAGAGTTCAGAGCTGCTCCCTGGGCCATACGTGATTCTCTCCCTGCCAAAAGTCTATAGTACCAAGGACTGGATCCTGGCCCTTGCGAGGTTCCAGCTGCCGGAGAGTGACTGTGTGCTTCCTCAGTCAGTAGATGTCCTCTGTCGTGGTTTGAATGAGAATGTCCCCCATAGGCTTCAAGTATTTGGACATTTTGTCCTCAGTTGGTGGCATTGTTTTGGAAGGTCTTAGAAGGTGTGGCCCTGCTGGAGGAAACATGTCACTGGGGGTAGGCTTAGAGTTCTTAAGCTTTCCCAGATCTTCAGGCACTCTCTCTTGTTTTCCTGTGCCTGCTTGAAGATGTGAGAGCTTAGTTTCCGCTCCTGCTCCAGCCACCTCCTGCTGCCATGCCTCCCCACCAAGACAGACTGTAATTCCCTTGGAACCATAAGCTCATCTTTTTTTTTTCTATAAGTTGCTTTAGAAAGCTATGTGTCATTTACTTTCTTCCTGAAGTAAACTGAACACATAAGGCCCCTTAACTCCTTCTCTGATAGCATGAGGAACACTTATGCCCTCAAGATCTAAGAAGACACTGTTATTTGAGGAATATTGCCCAAAGATGTCCATACTCCCAACCCTAGAACCTGTGCATATGTTCCCTTACAAGGGGTTTTACTTTGCTGTCTGCTGCTGTGATAAATACTTGACCAAAACAACTTGGGGAGGAAAGGGCTTATTTCATCTTACAGCTTACAACCTATCATTGAGAGAAGTCAAGGCAGGAGCTCAAGGCAGGAACCTTGAGGCAAGAGCTAAAGAAGCAATCACAGAGGAACACTGCTTACTGGCTTGCTCAACTAGCTTTCTTATATTTCCCAGGGCCACCTGCCTAGGGATGGCACCACCCACAGTGGGCTGGGCCCTCCTACATCAATTAGCAATTAAGAAAATGACTCACAGACATGGCTTCAGGCCAGTCCCAAGGAGAAAGTTCCTCAGTTGAGGTTCCCTCTTCCCAGGCGACTGCAGTTCATGTCAAGTTGCCACCAACTAACCAGCACACAGGCCAAGGAGACTATGTACATTGGGGAGGTCATTCTGCGTTATTCAGCTGGGCCCAAGGTCTTTACAGTATGGAAGGCAGGACTGTCCATCAGAGAAGCTGAAAGCAGAAGATCAGAATATACTTTGCATAGTATTGCAGATAGAAGACCTGGCCCTGGGTCAGTAAGAACAGACAGCTCCAGATACTGGAGATGACCAGGCATCAGAGCCTTCCTGGGGCCTCTGGAAGGAACACACCCCAGAACTTACCTTTATAGAATGAGACTCACTTTGGACTTATGATCTCAAGAACTTTAAGGTCGTTTGCATTATTTGAAACCATTAATTTTGTGGTTATTTGTCATAGCAGCAATAGGGAACTGGTATAAACACTAAGACCTGAGGTCGGGTGGAACTTGATGCTACATAGCTCTGGCTCCCGGAAGCCTCCAGACTGCAGTTCCCAAACTCCTGCTCAGTTTGGATCCTTGTCTTTCCCTCAGGCACCTTTGTTTATAGATCTAGCACTCATTCCCTGCAGAGCTATGTCCTATAGCAAACTAGGAGCCAGCAGAGGGACAGCAGGTCACTGGGGCACTCTGCCTCACAGGCATAGGGCAGGGCTCCTTCTTTCCTTTGGGGTCACAATCGTGAGTTTTGTGACAGTGATTTTTTCTTTATTTGCTGCTTCCTTAATCAATTTCTGCCCCTCTGGCCATACTCTGAAGAGCCTAGGCTCCCTAAAGCCTGGCTACTAGCCAAAAGATGGGCTCTGAGTGAGGTCAGGAAACTAGATTTCTGTCCTCTTTCAGGCATAGGTAGAGGCTAAAACAGCACGAAGCCTGTGAGCTTTCCTAGAAATACCTTTTGGACGTGGTGTACTCAGAAGGCAAGTGCTGCTCTGAAGTGGCCCTGGAACGTGTACTGGGTGCAGCATCTGAGTGAGTATGCAGATCCATTCCCTTGAGATTCTGTTCAAGCAGTTCAGCAGGCTGAGGACAAGAGGGACAGCAGCCTGCAGAGCTTCATTGAGATATGCATAAATGATGCTTTGGTGACAGCAGGTTCTCTGCTGTGCGGGTGGAGCCATGGACTCTGAGCCAGCTCAGTACTGGCCTAAGCTCTCAGAAGCTATCTGGTGGCCCTGGTGATATCCCCTGAGGCTGGGGCCTCTATGCCCAGCTAGCCAACCTCTGATCTCTGGTCTTTCACCTCATCATCCTTCCTCCTTCGCCTGGTGGCCTGGTTCCTACTCACTGGTGACTCCATCCCCCAGTCCCATTCAAAATGGTTTTGACTTCTGTGGATTTAATAAAAACTTCACCAGTCCAAAAAAAATAATGTTAAAGCAACACCTTTGCCAGTGGCTTAATGAGAGTATGTGGTTGGCAGCTGACATTGCGAGGAACCTTCAGACCCAGGTTGATGGGCAGGGATAGCCACTTTGGAGCCTTCTGCAAAGGGGGTGACCTTTGCTTTTGGTGAGCCTCCTTCCAGAACTCATTAAGTCCTCACAGCTCCAGGCCTGGTGTACCTAATCATCTATGAAGGAAGGGTTTCAACTTCTGTAGTAGATGCAAAAACAGCCATGCACTAGACTGACTCTCCTAAGTTCTAAGAACATCATACCAGCATTGCCTCACCATCAGCAACTGAAAATAAGAATGCTAAGCCATGGTATAAAACTAAAATCACCCCTCACTAAACTCTTCTCATTTATTTTGGAGGCTGGCTCCCTCTCAAGCCTAGTGGACCAAAACTGCTCCCTCATAAGGGGGCACTGAGAAACAAAAGAGAAAAGATCAAGGCTCTACTCCATGCCCCAGTGACCTAGAGACTTCTCACTTGGCCCCACCGCTTTTTAAAATATTTCATTATTTTTATTTTATGTGTATGAGTATTTTGCCTACATGTATGTGCACCATGTGTGTGAAATGTCTGCAGAGGCCAGAAGAGGATGTCAGATCCCCCTGGAACTGGAGTTATGGACAGTTGTTAACTACTATGTGGGTGCTTGGAATTGAACCTGGCTCCTGTGAAAGAACAGCAAGTGCTCTTAACCACTGAGCAATCTCTTCAGCCCCAGCCCCACCTCTTTAAGTTTCCATTCTCTGCCAATAGCATCATGCTGGGGGCCAAGTACTTGACACATGGGCTTTGGGGGGTAACACTCAACACTAAAACCATTGCAGTTCCTTATAGAGTTGTTGGTGCTCCAAGCTACCATTTATTGAGGACTTACTACATCCCAGGCACATATATTATGTCATAGTCTTCATGGATATTTCATAGTGGTTGTATGTCTCTGTGTATAGGGAGTATTGTTTCTGTTTTATAGGTGAGTAGTTACAGACTCAGAAAAGCTAAGTGATATACCCAAGATCACAATTAGTAGGTGACAGAACTGAAACTCAAGCACAGAACTGACTCTAACATCTGAGTTCTTACCACTGAGATGATACCCACTAAGTAACCCTAAGGCCCATCACTGGTATGACTTGTACGTGGGAACTGCCTAGTATAGAACAGTGAACAAACAGCTGTGTACTAAGGTCTGCAACCCCATCCCCAAGGTGTGTGCTAAATCTCAGGCATAAAACCCTGATTCCCTTGACCTTGATGAGATACTAAGCAGGCAGGTGGCATCCTCTGGGATTGCCCCAGGGTGAGCCATTCCCTGAACAGTCTCCCTGTTCCTCCCAGGCAGGCATCTGTGGAAGTGGACCCCTAACCCTACAGGCAAGCACAGGGCTGCTTAGATTTAAGGGGTAAGTTCAAAGCAGAAAGGAAGCTCCTTTTAAATGGAAGGGCACCATGAGTGTTGGGGCCAAAGGAGGATGGTGGAGAATTCCTAGTAAAATTTTACAGCTTCCGTGTTTCCCCTCCTCTCCATCTTCAAATCGTGAAAGCCATGCATCTGGGGGGCCATCTCACTGAGTGAGGGCAGGAACACCCAGTAGCCCAGCCAGGGTGAGGTTTCCGGCTTCATTGGTGCCCATCCTGCACTTTTCCAAGCGTAGGCTGCATTCTAGCCTGGGGCAACAAAGAGCAGCCATGAGCTGCCCACAGGATCTGATGGCATCTACTGCTCTTGGCCCGCTGGCCTGAGAGTGGGTAGAGGAAGCTCAGCTGTTATCCCTTTTATGTATATTGACTTAGTACAGTGCAAACATGTTAAAAGTTCACTTTCTCCTTTATAGGAGTCTATAAAAAGGCTCTTAAACTGGAGTCCTAGGGCTTCCGCAAGACAAATGTAGGATGAAGCCTTTGGGAGGTTCCCTGCCTCCCTCTTCTCTCAGCACAGAGCTATGAGTCACTCCAATGTACTGTTTTAGCTGGAAGCCCTGGTGAGGCTTGACCTCTCCACCACAGTGGGTTCATGCCAATGGGCAGAGGAGCCAGGCTTGGGGCTGCCCTGAGGCTGGCAGGTTGTTTCTGGTGATCCCTTGGGTGTGAGGGAGTCTGTCTGCTCAGGACCATTTCCTGGACATATTACAGGTTAGCAGTTCTGGGTCTCTTAACAAGTCATCTGTGCAAGAGATGTCCTCCATCCAATGGCAGTACTCAGTAATCATCCTATCTGATGACTTAGGTACCAGGGTGGCCTGCAGCAGGAAGGGACACTGGGAGGCCCTGAATAGAAAGGAGTGTGCCTGAGGTATAGTTCTGATGAGGTCTCTTGGCCTAGGGAGCCACAGACCTTGTCTGTGGAAAGGCGCCTTTAAAAGACACTGAGGGAGTGGGTGAGCTCAATAGCAAGCTCCAGGGGAGTGTGGAGGCTTGGGAACTGCCAGCCTCTGTTTCTCCATCTGCCAGTTTGGGGGTGGTCACTTCTCTGCCACCCTGAGTCTGTCACAGGGAGATAGTCAGAGGGAGGGACGTGGAGAAGGGAACGAGTACCCTGTGGCCCAGAGGACCTGGCTAGTCACAGGCTCCTCAGGGCTGCCATGCACTTGGCCCTGAAACCAATGACTAACACTTACTTGTTCAACAAACAGCTAAGGATGGATAGTAAGCTAAGGCACCAAGCTCCCTGAGAGTCTGGTCAGTGCCCATGCCCCGATTTCTGTGCCCCAGTGTATGCTCTGGCTGTAGCCCTGAGCCTGAGCACACAGGCCCCTCCTGATCACAGGCACACACATTGTGTATCTAGCTGACACCTTCTGTCCATTCTGGCTCTGCTGACCTGCCCTTCCAGAGGGCTTCAGCCCTGAAGTGCTTTGCAACACAGCAGGAACTGCATGGTTTCTGGGCTGCAGCGGGGTGGTCCCCTTAGGATCTGGGTGGGAACAGGTTAGGCCACTGACCCAGAGAGGTCCCTTACAGGTCTAAGTCATGAAATTCTACAGAGGGACTTGAGGGAAACTGCTTGGTTCAAACAAGTCTGAGCTGAACGAAGAAAGGAAAGCACACATGCCATCCCACTGTGCAAACCCATCAGAACACTGTGAGCAGGTCAGCTTTGCAGCCAGGCTTGGCTTGTTTGCACCTCCTCGCTGGCTTCCCTGGCTTCTCTGGGTCTGCACACTGATATGTCATTAACAAGAGAGTACTTTGCAGGAATTCATGCGGTGATGAATGCTGGGCCTCTAACACTGTGCCTGAGCACAGAAATGTTTGGTGTGAATGCTGTTGTTTCCACTACTCTCATTGCCAGTATCTCTTTCAATTGCTTAGAATCATTTGTTCATGGAAATTTCCTGGCTGTGGCGTTTTTTTTTCCATATACTGGATCAAATCAACCCAGGGAATGATCTAAAGTAGAGTTTCTCAGTACAACTTCCTGACATATTGGAGATGTCTGTCATTAGCATCCAACATGGTACCCACTGTCTTTGGCCACCACATACTTGAAGTGTGTCTAGTGTGGACGAGGAAATTAATTTGTAACTTCATTTAACTTTAATTAGTTTAACCACAGGTGATTAGAGTCTACCATATTGGACAATACAAATCTAGAATGATGTTTTTCAAACTGGACATTACCTGACTGCTCTGAGCCATGACAGTACCATACAGAAAGGAATTCAAATAGCCTCTTCAGCCACACGTGGTAAAGGTGGCTTCTAATTAGCACATGGTTGTACAACCACATGGGTAAGGTAGCTGCTCTCAAGCACTGGCTACAGTTAATATGGGTTTTGGTCATGGCAGATACACAGCTTCCAGCCTATGTGGTAATGAAAGAATGAGGGTGGTTCTCACTTCTAAGGCATTTGTGACCAGCATTGTGCCACCAACTTTACAAAAGAGAAAAACATGCCCAGGAGAGCTGAGGTGACTTCACATGATCACACAGTGGTGGAAAGAGCAACTAAGCCCACACTTCAGAAAAGCCAGAGCACAGAGATTCAAGGTCACCGGCTGCAGAGCACTGTCCTTACCTGGGGCTTTTCTGTGTTCGTCCACCTCCAGGGTATCCCCAGGGATGAACACCTGTCTTTGTCATCTGTTCATGGCAGTGTCCCCTGACTAGCAGTGGCCAGGGCAGGTAGGAATCATGGCAATGAAGGCTTTGAGGAGCTGAGTGATCTACTCCAGATCCTGCAAAGTGGCCAATTCCTGAGAGGACAGCCTTGGAGGTTTTCCATATTTGAGCCCTGTTCTCTACCGCCTAAGCTCTCCCTGACTGGCTCTGACATCCTATGACTAGGCGCACAGGCCACACCCCTGGGCACATCTCCATGAAATGGCTTCTGGAAGCGCTGTCCTAAGTTGGACAGGGTGGGTGCAGAGTGGGGTGGTCCTGCTCTGCCGGGCAGAGGCTGAACAGGGCTTAATAAGCACATTGTCCCCAGCTTCGCGAGTACCGCCCGGGCACTTCCTCACACGCTGCATGAAGGATGAGCTCATGTCTGAGGCTGTGAGCAGTATGGAGCGCTGGGCCTGGCTGCAGGGAGGCCCTGTGGCCTGAGAAGCTCGCGCAGGCCGAGACTGGCGGAGTCGTGAAGCGGAACGTTGTAATGAGCGACGCCGGCTGGATT